AAGACAGACAACAGTTCCTTTATGTACCATACATTTATTTGCAGCTATTACAAAAGAAGTCTCCATCTGTGGATGGATGCCCCACACAGGACATATGGTACCACCTACCACAGGTGGTGCATTCAATCTGAAAGGAGATTTTAAAGTTAACATTAGAACAGGCATCTGTGACATTCATGTCATTCATTGATGCTCAAAATGTTCATTGAACGAGTTAAAGTGACAAAGTAAATGTAACTAAAATTGTCACATTTTGCAGTTCTCAGTGTTCATACCCACTCATCCACTTCTGCTCCTGAGCTGGCCTCTCCACAAGCCTTGCACATCTCAGATAGGTCATCTGTGAGAGAAAAAAAGGGGGGGAAACATGCAAGCTACTTAAATACAAATACAGTCATCTACGTCCACAAGTTTACCAGAGTTTTTCAGCAATGCTACTGCCGGGTCTCGCCTCAGCCTGGCCACCCCCTCCTGGTCCACAGGATACTTGATTTCTTGTTGCAGTAAAATTTGTTCTGCAAGCTAAGAAATCTGTGGTAAATATAATTGGGATTACTTATTGTGCCTTGTGTACACATAATCACACACTTACCTTGCACACAAATACACCACAGGATTTGGAATCCTGTTGTTTGGGATGGGGCATTGCCGAACATGTCCACTTTGTAATTGCTGGAAGTTTGGTGCACACCAGTGCTCTACACACACACACACACACACCAGGATAACAGTGAGCCAACTTTAACGCCAGTCCCATTAAGGGCATTTCTAAATCAGCAGCTGGGCATGGACTTCAGAGGGACAAGTTAATACAAGTTGTGTGTTTTTTTTTTTTTTATGCAATAAATGTTAATAAATAGTCCTATGGAAATAATCAAAAACTGTCTTCTGTCTTCTTGTTGGCAAGTACATTTAATGTTTTGTTAATGTCTGTAAGGACATTAATTAATTGGTCCAGGCGCTCATTAATGCTGCCGATTGCCCTCGCGATGTCCTCCTGTGAATCCAGCACAGCACAGGTGAGGACACAGCCGGTCGGACGGGCATCAACAGCTGGCTGTTGCGGCGGACCAGAGGATCGGCTGACGCTGGGGAGGCTGGAGGAATCCCCCGGGCCAAGGTTTGGCGGTGGGCGACAGTCCTCCTCTTCACGTCCACCTTGATGTCCGGCCATTTCTGTGAGGGTGCGCTGCTCGGAGCCCACAGCATTCACTGCCTCACACACATTATCCCATTCACTCTTCTTGCGTTTTGTATTTATGCCAGAAGACAGTGTGGCAAAGAGGACACTTTTCCGGGCCTCCATTTCATTTAGAAGCGTCTCCACCTCCCACTCTGTAAAATTTCTCTTTTTACCTCTCCTGCTCATTCTTCTTCGTGTTATCTGATTGGGCAGAGAGGGGAATCCTACCTGTCTGTCAGGGTTTAGTTAAGGCTGCCTGACCCAAATGCAGAAACAACACTCAGAATACATGGAGTCAGAGAAATGGGGTTTATTGCAAAAACTGAAAGTGTAATGATGGGGTTGAAAACAAGGCGGGAGTGTTACCGGTTATGAGCTGATGGTCCAAGGCAGTCACACTGAAGCACGGAGGGAGGCATGAAGGGAAGCCCGGAGGGATGCTCAGAAGGAAACACGAGGAAACACTCAGGAGGAAGGCTTGAAGTGACCATGCTGGTTAACACTCAGGCCCCGACTGAACGGTGACAAGTCCTCTTATACACAGTGACGAGCCTGATGAACTGCAGGTGTGTAGACCACACACCTATAATTTTCTAAATTATATTTGTCCCCCTTTTTGAATAATAATGTAGTGATGCTACCTGCAAAATCCTGACCTACTCTGCTTTCCCTCTCTATATCTAAATACAGAATGTGAAGTAATGGAACAACCCTATCTGCAAATCTCTTATAGAACTCACTGGGCAGGCTGTCATTGCCATTATTGGTAAGGAGCCATCTCGCCACGCTCTTGAGCTCCTTGAGGGAGAGCGGGGCCTCACAGAGGTCAGCATCTGACGACACCACCCTTGCCTCCAGGGCATCCAAGGCCTCCAGTGCGCAGGCCCCTGAGACTGGCTTCTGTGAAAAAAGTTCAGAGTAAAAGGACCGCACTGCCTCCAGGAGTTCCTCCGGTTTGGATGCTGCATGTCCCTGACTATCTGTTAATTTTTCAATGTAGGTTTTGTTATACTTTCTTTTTCCAGACTGAAAAAGTATTGATTTGACCTCTCGCCCTCGACCATGTACCTTGCTTGGGTGTGCACCATCGCCCCTCTTGCCTTCGCAGCCTCCAGGTTGGCTAGAGAGGCCCTCAG